GTACAACAGCTCCCGCTGGCTGGCGGCAGACAACGTTACTGCAAATTGGCAAATGCGCGAAAACTACGCCAAAATATGCCAAAGCCAGACAGGCTCGAACAGGGGAATGAGATGAGGGGTCTTGCCTGCTGGAAACACTGAGGTTTACCCGACCTTGATGCAGCCTACTTTAAGATACAATGATTTCTGCAGAACCCATGGGAACCATGGGTCTATCGGTGTGCTTTAAAGAACGTGGGGGGTGGGCGGTGGTTGTCTGGCTTAATTTTCGCTAGAACCTTCCAGGTGGCAAAACGTCAAGAAATTAATATTTTACAGCCCCGCAGCTGCAACCAGAGCTTTATGGCTGCTTCTCTTTTTATTTCTGTTGTTTAATGAACAGCGTGGAAGCTCATCAAGTTCGCGGCTTGTGCCGCTGCTTACCTTGCACTTTATTTAATGTTGTCTGGCAGCCTGTTTAAGAGGCACACAACACCCCAGCAATGTACTCGCACTCGTTCTAAATGATTTAGGTGACAAAACTTTGCAGACAGAGAAAAAGAAACCGCACACACACACAGCGGAGGAGAAGCGAGAAATTTAACTTTTTGGTAATGAGAAATAAATATGGAAATGCAAATGAAACTGAAACTGATACGAAAAGTTAAATTGCAAGCGCTGCTGCATGAGCAATTAGTTGGATCTGTGTGCCACGTGTGCACAATTTGGCTGCAACTGGTTTGGTGGCAAGAAATAAGTTACTCAATTCGCCAGCAGAAGACAGGACGAACGCTAGAGATAGGGATAGAGAGAGAGAGAGAGAGAGCGAGAGAGAGAGGTGTCCCACAAATAAAGCAATAATGAAAACGACGAATTTTCAAGAAAACTTTAATTAAACTAAGCCACACACCGAGACAGCAACGTTTTCGTGACCTCAGGTGTGGCACACCCTTCAAGAACGAAACAACAAAAGCAACAGCAATGAAAGTTCGATCGGGGAGCGCCAGGTGGGGTGCCCCAGACATGGCTGCGGCTGGGGCTGGGGCTGGGGTTGGCTGGCTATCGGGTCGCTTTATCTCGGCCCAGGCCAAAATTGTCGCCCCCAAATATATGCTACACTTGTGTTACTCTATTTTTTCACGTTCTCTTTTGGCCAAAAACCAAATAGAGATGGCCACGTGAGAGTGGTAGAACAACACGATGGATCAGCGGTCAAAGGAATGTCCATGGATAGTCCTTTAATTATTGCTGGAGCTTCGGCTCTGTCCCTGGCAGCCCCCATTCCGTGGAAAAGCAAGTCCAGTCCCCGAACTTTGTTTACTCTGCGGTCGTGACCACAGCTGGGGCTGCCACACCACACCACACCACTCCACACCGCTTGCCATCTCCACTTTGACTTTCGCCTCAGTGGCTTTTGTTTTGTTTTTGTTTTTTTCCTTTCGTACTGCGTGTGCCTGGGCCATCGTCATTTGGCTTTTAAGCTCCTCTACACTTTGGACAAGTTTTGCTGGGCCGGACATCGGTGGGCGATTAGATTTTGCGGCGCAACTGAAGGCATAATTAGTGAAAGTGATTTGTATCTGTGGACTTGGCCCCGACTTGGGCGGCAGCTATAAATAACTGACATTTTGAGGCGCTGCTGCTGCTGCTACTGCTGCGCTTTGGCATTTTGTTGTGCCATTTCATTTGCATGCAACATCATTCTGCTTCTTTCAGTCCGAGGCTTAATTCAGAGTGGAGGGGCTTAGAGTGCAGCTCCCGGGCCAAGGGTCGTCTGCCAGCAGCATAATGAAGCTGGGAAAGGCATTCGGATGAGGCTCTCAGCCGGGATCTGCTCGGGTATTTATGGCATTTGCTTGGCTATTCCGATTTTTAATTCTACGCGCATTCTGTAGTTCTGTGCAAAAGGATTTCCATGAATTTAAGCTTGCATCTAAATTTGTAAAACGAATTACACCACTTTTGTTGCTGAAAGTCCCTGTAAGAGCGGACCCGGCTCTGCTTGATTACTAATTAAATTAGCACAACGAATTTGTTTTTGGTCTAAAATGGAATTGAAAGTTTGCTTTTGCTCTAAAATATGTAGTGCGAGTACCTTTCGAAAATCTATTTCTGCTGGAAATCTATAATCCAATTGCAAGTTTATCTGCCTGAAAATTCAGCATAAATCGGAAATTTAGGTCTCACACAGACACACCTCTTCGAATGTGTGTGTGTGTGGGGCAACCAATCAAAGTTCAGAAGTTCACATCATTGACAGCGGCACAACTTTCTGGCCTCAAACTCGAATTAAGAAAAGATAGCAGGCAGCAGAGAGACGAGACGCACAAAACTTTTATCATTTTCACAGTCCAAAAAGAGGGAGAGAGAAACGAGAAATAGTTAGTTACGGAAGTACTCTCGGTACTTGGCACACAGCCTCTGTACCACATGCCAGGGCCCTCCCGGGTTCTGCTTGTTCACCTGCTTGAGATTGTCGCTTATTTAAGCAGCTTAATTTTCGGATGCTGTTGCCAATGGCAGCATCGGGTGGCAGGTAGAAAAAGAGCCCCATCTCCGGCCCCGACCCCTGCCCCAGCACCTGCCCCAGCACCAGCCCCTGCCCTTTTGTTTGTACTTTTGCCAGATGAGAGTGCAGTGGCAGTGGCAGTGGCAATGGCAGTGGCAGTGCAGTCAACAATCAATCTCCGCCCGTGGTGACAGCCAACAATGCATGATGCAAAAATGTTCCCCTCTTAGCACCTACGGCTCCATGCGAATACGGATATTTGATACGGGCGGAGACGCACACACAGAATGATCAACCCAGTCGCAGCCAATCAAGCGCAAGGTATGACTGTAAATCTGTGGGCACACAAAATGCCTTCAATCCCTGGCATGCTGTGCTCTGCCGTGTCGTGCCGTGCCGTGCCGTGCCGTGGCTCCTCCAGCTGCCTGCCATTGCTGAGCGCCGTGTACGTGGAGGCATGGAATTGGGTCACCAGGCGGGAGGCGGGGTTCCGTTCTGTTCCCCACACAGATTCGGCCAGGACAGGGCTGGAGGGGGGAGGGGGGAGGGGAGGGAGTAATCGCTTAGCAGCAGGATGGTGGATGGGTTGGAGCAGATGGATGCGTGGATGCGTGGGTGGAAAAGCACAGCAGGAAGGAAGCCCGCGCGCGCTAAGCACCATCGCTTGATGGAGCTCATCATAATTTTTCGGGGCGCCACGGTGGAAAACTGAAAAACAAAACAAATCGAAGCAAGCAGCAACATGTTAACTACGCACTAGAGAGAGAGAGAAAGGGAGAGGGCGAGAGCGAGAGCGAGAGGAAGGAAGTCAAAGAGGCACGAAGAGCGTATGCTTGGGAGAGCAAAAGCTTTGGCCGAAAGCTTTTCGAGTTTCTGCCGCTCACTGCCTGCCGTCTAACCTTCATCTTGAACTTCATGGCCAGACGAAGAGAGAGCATCGCAACGCAACGCATCGCATCGCATCGCATCGCATTTGGTTCTATGTTTCATGTTTCTAGGCCACAGATGGCCCCCCCGCCAGCCCTTTGTCCTGGCAACATATGCAACAGGAGGGAGTTCATTCAAGACCAACCCCCACCGCAGCTGATGCAAAGCCGTAGTAATGGAGCGGTAGAGGGAGCGGCAGCGAAGAGAGCTCGAGGGAGGGGATAATATTTCGATGTTGTCCAAAAAAAGTAATTTATGCAGAAAGGAAATTATTCATTATTATTTATGAAATTTTTGGCTTAAATTTGCTTAAAATTTTGGCTCGAAATTATTCGATGCGGAAAGATATTTTCCCTAATTAGTATATAATCAATTCAAATAGATTATATGTAATATTAATTTAAAAGCAAACCTACTATCTTTTTCAATCTAAAGGAAACATTATTTAAAATCTTTGATTGATATTTTCAAGCAAATTCCTTCTTGGAGATAACCCCAATACAATTTCAGTTTGAAATAACGGTTTAGCTCCGCCAGAGCTTTGTTCAAGAGAACATCGCTGCTGCACAGTGGGTGACACGGCCAATCTATATCCATAAAAAAAATAACGCCGAAAGTCAAAAAGAGAACTTCTATGTGTATTCTGTAAATGATTGAACTTTGTTAAAAGTTCAAGTTAAAGTTAAATAAATTTTGTATTTTTTAAATAATGCAATATATAAAATATTATTTAGAATCATATTCTGGTCGGATCCAAATTTTAAACTTTAAAGCATACCTAAAATTTCTGAGTTCTAGGAAAATGGGAAAAGTAAATACTTTGAGGTGAACATTGAAACTAAAGAAAATATATAGAAAAAAACTCAAAGAAAAAGCAATGGCATTCTAATGTTTCATGATCAGATCAAACCAAATTACCAACCGATACTAGTTTTAGCCTAGACAAGTTTTAAAGAAATACACGAAATATTTGTGGATATGTTCTACGATGTTATTTCGGGAAAAACACATGTTAAACATGCAAACAACTATTTTTATTTTACCTTTAACTGTAGCCAAAACAATTAATGAAATTCTGATTAATTTGAGATAAATAAATTAAAAATATAAAATGTGTTTAATTGAATGGATTACAAAAAATAATGTCTTTGAAGTTTCGAAGATTGGCCGTTTCACCCACTGTGCGCTGGCCTCTCTCGAAGCTTTCCTTTCTCTCTCTCTCCCGCTCTCTCTGTGTGCGCTCTCACACACGCACACCATGGCAGACTCTTATCAGAGAAAAACGCCTAGCTGGAAGCGCGGCAGCCAGTGAGGACTCGCTTTTAAGGATAGCACTGGAGCACGAGCACCAGCAGGAGCAGCAGGAGCAGCAGAAGCAGCAACAGTGCGATGCACAGGCACAGGCACAGCCACAGCCACAGACCCGTTTATAAGGTGAAGCCCGAAATTGGAGCAGCTCAGTTCGCTGTTGGCAGGCGTCGCCGAAGGTAGTAGCCCTTATCCATCCAAGAGCAGGACGGAGCCAAAGCCAAAGCCAAAGCAAAAGCAAAAGCCAAAGCCAAAGAGCCAGGAGAACACAGTTCCACAGAGCCACAGCCCAGAGGAGAAGAAGGTAACGCTCAAAGAAGTTGTAAAGTGACAATTTGTCGGACAGTCAGTCGTCAGGACCTCCCATCGAGGGAGGTGTCGAAGTGAGTGCGCGACGCGAAGGGCCAACCAAGAGCCAAATGAAATGAAATGAAATGAAACGTATAACCCAACTAAAGTCAACTAAAATACGACAAAACTAAACCAAATTGAATTGAATTAAGAATTGAAAGAGGTAGAGGTAGAGGTAGAGCACGAGCAGTAGGAGTAGCAGTGGCAGTGGCAGTGGCAGTGGCAGAACAATTAAAAGCAAATTGCATGCAGAGTCAAGAGAGAGAGAGAGAGGGGGGGAGAGAGAGAGAGGGAGAGATAGAAGAGGGTACCAAGGAAACCAGCAGGATCTGGTCGTTCATGTCACGCTGCATTTGCACATAATTGCAAACTGTTGCGCGGTCTGCAGTTTCGCTTTTTATTGCCAGGCGATAAAATAAAAATCCATTTGCCAGACGATCCCCCCACATCCACATCCACATCCACTTCTACCATTCTACTATTCTACCATTCTGGTATTCCCATTCCCCATTCCCCATTCCCCCAACTGTTGCACATAGAGGACCATTCATTACACATAGAATACTGCCACAGGACACGGAACAGAGAGCACGAAGCACACTGTACACAGGACAGTACAGCACAGTGCACTCTGCACAACACACACAGAGAACATAACCATTTCTTTTACGATCTCAGCCTTGGTCATGCCCCATTAAATATGCTCTGAATGTTTTTTGTTTTTTTTTTTTCAAGTTGAAAAACCACCGCCGTTTCAGAGAACGGAAAACGGAAAAGTGCACAACCCAAAATTATGCTAAAATAAATATAACGAGTACGGAAAATAAAAAAAAAACAAAAACAAAAAAAAAAACGAATCCACACATAAAGGCAGCAGAAGCAACAACAAAAGAAAATCACAAAAGCGAAGAGAAAACTTCACGAGGAATTCACGAATTTGCATTCGAATTTTTAGTTTTTGGACCTGAAGACCCGAGGACCTGAGGAGAACTTTGGAACCGGACCAGCACAGGACCAAGCCGTGTGCCAATTTATGCGGCCATAAAAGTTAAAGGGGAAATCATCCAAAGCAGGGGCGGAGGAGAATCACTTAACCAACTGCAGAGACAGGTGAGTGGTGAGTGGTGAGTCCTTGAACAGATCCGGTTCGGTACCGTGCTCCTTCTCGTCCTCGGATGTAATCTCGATAAATTATCGACAATCTGCCAACGGCATTCAACTGTATCATCCCTGTTATCCGCCACACTCGTACACGTACACGTACACGGACACGTACACGGGCACGTACCCGTACTCGTACAATTAACGCGAATCAAAGTATTTATTGCTCTTTAATTATGGAATGCCAGTCATTGTTATTTATTTAAAGTGAGTGCTCTAGAGGCGTGTGGCTCTCCTGCAATGAATAATTTATTGTGATTATTATTAACACTCGAGTGCCCTTCAGCTGCGATGGATACTAGAACACGTTTCCATTGAAAAGAATATAACAATATTCTGTACCCGTATTCGAACTCGTATTCGTATTCGTACTCGTATTCATACTCGTACTCGTACTCGTATGTTTTATTAAGATTATAGAGTCATGAAATATTCGTGAATCAATATTTTTTTAGCATTTGCGAGGATAAATACCCAACAGAAGTCGAAATCTCTGAGGCGTATTTTCTTTAATCACGACAAACAAATATTGAGGGGGGCGGGGGGAAAAAAGAAGAGCGACAGGGAGGTAGAGAGGTAGAGCTGGCCGCCTGATGTGGCCCTGGGCGACTTTAATGACCGCAGTCTTATCAAGGCAAACTATTATATTATCCCCATATAATATGTATTAAATGGTACACATATCGGTACATACAAACATATGTACATGCTATTTGTTGTATCTGTATCTGTGAAACACGCATCTGCTGTTTTTGCGGATTTTATGGTTGTAGGGGGCTCTCGGGGAAATATAATAACAAATATGTATAGCCATGTACAATCAGGCGTACATAAAGTTATATATCATACTGGTACAGCGTAAACAACAATAGCTCCGGTGGCAGCAACAGGCAGGGCCGCCAGCGACACTGCCACTGGCAGGGGCACGGTGATGGGGATGGGGATGGGGATGGGGAATGGGGCCATCCAGAGTTAATTAAAGCTCAACTTCAATTTGGCTCTGTTCCACTGTTGTTCTCTAATTAAATTTATGCAAAATCTGTATCCCCCCGCCCCCCAAAAACCGCAGAGAACTGATACCCACACCCCATACGTATGTACTATACATACATACATTCGCATTGCACTTCTATCGGGGGAATGCAAATTTTGAAATCAAATTAACCAAAGTAATTCCTGGCGCACCTGGCGGGACGACGAGTGCCCCACTTTGTCCCACGCCATCTGCTGTGCCATGGCTCCTCCATTACATAGACAAAACAAACAATTTGGATTCCAAAAGAAAAGCGGAATAACTGAAGGAGAACCCCATACCGTAGGGATACTCTTAGAAAAATATATCACAAAATGGTATACAAGCAAATTGTCTGGCAAATAGAGCAGGAACAGCCCCTGCTTATTGGTTAGGGTATACGTAGGGTATACGTAGGGTATACCTTAACAAAACCCCGAAACGGTGAATGTGCGGGACACACAATGGGGCTCGGGGCTCGGGGCCACGGGCTTTCATGTCAACTTTGTTAATTAAATGAAGCACTTAACATCGAGACATATTTTGGTGCCAGAACCGAACAACCAACAACCCAGCCACCCAACAACCCAGCCACCTGCCCCATATTCTCCCTCCTCTTTCCACACTGAACGGTAGAAAGGGGGTTACGCTCTTCGTCGCCTGAATGCCTTTCCGTTTTCTTTGTTAAAGCTGTATATTTGTTGACTACATAATTTGCTGTGTGCCAGTTCCATTTTAATGACTGTCCAGTTCTCAAATGCTCCGGCAACTTCTTATCATAATTTCCATTTTGCTTCCGTTTCTCCGTTTGCCACTTGTGTTGCTTTATTGCTCGTCCTGGCAACGCCCCCCGCCCCCTGGACGGGAAGCACTCTCCCAAAACAGTGTCCATCGCCGCCCCATTGAATTCGGGGACAACATCAAAGACATTCGTGGACATTTCATTAGGAACTGCTTCGCTTGCCCTTTGCCTTCTGCCATTTGCCTTTTGCCTCTTGCTGCCTCTTGCTGCTGCTATTTTGCATAAAGGTTGCAGGACAAACCAGTTCGTCCTTCCCTGGCCCATCTGTCCCGTCTGTCAGCTCAAATTTGAAACAGTAATAGAAAAATAATTGGAAGAAAAATGTTTATTGCTGTTGACAGGGCCAGAAGCATAACTTTTTCCGGCTTATAATTATTGTTTTCATTATTTTTAGTTTATAGTTTGGTCGAGGAACTAATGCTTTCCCCCTACCCCCACCCACCACCCACCACCCCCGGTTGTTTTTGACATATGCCATGATGTTTTTTTTTTTGTTTGTTTCAAGAATTTTATTGTGGTTTCTGTGGTCTGTCTGTCGTGGGTCGGAGATGGAAAGGGAAAAAAACATGGCTTTTACATCACGAACAATAACAAATTTGGTTTTGCGGTGGTCACAACTTTGTTGCATAAATATTTTTGTATAAATGGAAAGACTAATTTGTATTTGCGGAAAACAATTTAACAAAAGTTATGCTATTTTAGATTATTAAAGATTTTTAAAGATTTTTGTTTTACGAGCGAGCAGGGCAAAACCGAGCGCTATCCAATCGTGTTCAATTGTCGATTGTCTTTTCGATTTGCGATACCTTCCAGCGAGTACCTCATAAATGATGCCAAATGGAATCAATTTCAATGGATTATGCATTCATGTTGTATGAATAGCATGCATAATGCCCACGCTCATCTGGCTTTGTTGTAATGAAGCGCACACGCCTTGGGAGAACGCGACACGATACGTATACGTATAACGTATACGTATTGTTGTACCAGCAGACTCCTTGTCAAGGTTGCCATGCCAATGGGCTTACGTATTCGATTCATATTGCTCTAATATGCGACAATAAGTATCTTTCATTCATGTACAATATACCACACCCCAAACCACCACCCCCCACCCCCCACCCCCCACCATTTGTGCCACGCTGCGCTGACCTATGTCGCCGCCTGCTGTGTGCCCAAATATTTGTGTTGTGTCGCCGTCAAATCAGAATTCGATATGTGCGACAGCCAAAAGGCGGAATAAAGAGAATTCCTGAATCGGAACTCGAAGCATCGAACTAGAAATACCCTTGAGGAGGGCCACATCCTTTGAGGAATTATGAAGGGTGCGACTGTACTACATCAGAAATGGGCAATTAGCCTTATCAAGGCGCTGAAGTTTCCCGCATTCCAGCAAAACAAAACACAGCAAGAAATGTCGGCCAAAGATGTGTCCACAATGTCGTTAAGAGTCTTGAGAGAGAGAGAGAGAGAGAGAGCAGCGTAAGACAGGGGGAGAATAAATAAAACCAGACGAAAACGAAACCTAAAGTGTATGCCATTAGGCAGACGGAATGCCAAAAGCAAAACGGAAAAATGTCGGATCGGATTGGGCATGCGAATGGGAATGGTTTCGGGGGCCACAGGGCTAGGCATAAGGGGAAGCAAAAAGCAATTTCAAATATTTTCGTTACCTGCTCGTAGGAAATTTTTACGTTTTTCTGATTACGGCAAAGCTTTCGTTACCTTTTTTTTTTATTGTATTGCGTATTGTTGTTGTTGCGTAATTGTGCGCAAGAAAACAAAAAAAAAATAAGAAAGAAAAACGAAAAGGGAGGCGGCAAAAGGGGTAGCAGCAGGGGGAGCACTTTAAGGACTCTCCCAGACATTTGAAATGCAAAGAAGCAGTGCATATTTTCTTTCGCTAAGCAGTACGTAGAAGTTAAGCCAAAACATGGCATACTTTACCAGGGAGCAGGGTACAGGGACCAGGGAGCAGGGACCAAGGACCAGGGACACGGTGCTCGGTGCCAGCGAAACGTTCTCTACGGCGGAATCGGATTTCGCCAGGCAACGCAAGACGTTTGTTCATGAACTATGGAAAAGGAATTCCACGGAAAACTAAATTGCAAGAGTCAAGAGCAGGAGCTGCCTGCCAAGGAGCGTCTCAGGTTAATTCAATTCAATTGGAATGAATCTTTGTGCGACTGTACCTTAGGGCAATATTTTCATAGAGTTGTATCCCCCAAGCCATAAAGCACCTAAAACTTTAGATGCAAGTTGTAGAATCCCTATGCATAGGTCCCTCGGCTCGCACTCTTTCCACTCATGCGTAACGGCAAAGCTATATATTACCATAGATGTACATAGTCATGGATGTATGTAGTCGTCCCGCTTTGGCCAAGAGCTTTTCAGTCTATAAATAGCTACAGCTTCAGCTCTAGGCTCAGCTGAGAGCTCCACCCCCGCCTCCGCCTCCAGCAGCTCCAACTGTTGCGCAGAGTTCGGGGATAACTAAAAATAGCCACCAGCTGGTGTGGTCTGGACTGGTCTGGTCTGGTCTGGTCGGTGTCATAAAATCCTCCGAGTGGCATAAAATCCAATAAATGCTGCTGCAGACAAAACCAAATTACCGAACACGGACACGGACTCGGACACGGACACGGACGCGTTCTGTGTCTTGCAGCAATGTTTTTGTTTGCTCGCACTCTCCGATGGATACACATTTGTGTGAGAGCTGCTTGGATGTTTATCAGCTTGTCGCATGATTGATTTATATGCCCCGTGGATTATTAATGGTCGGGCCAAGTCAATTGAAACGCGAGACCCGACAACTCCAAGCATTTGTGAGCTCTGCTCCTCATTCATTATTGATACCGCGAGGCAGCGTCCGCAGCGCTGCATGAAAGTGACACAAGGCAACACCGAGTGGAAGGCAAGTGGCAAAACAATGAGGAAAACTGTTGGTAGACCCGTCCCTCAGTTTTAATTGTGACTCTTCTGGGAGCAACAGCAGGACCAACGCCTGGTTAACTTTTGTTTGCTCAAGCGAGAGCTGGGAAATGCGAAGCGGGAAAGCGGGAAAACGGGAAAGCGTGGAAACGGCAGCGGCAGAGGCAGAGGCAGCGGCATCGGCTGCAAGCAACGGAAGCCAGA